CTCTTTTATCTCAATCTCCATTCCATTATTTACTTATTTTTTAATCTTTATCCTTTTAATTAAAGGAAAAAAATAGCAGGATATATTATAGTAACCCACTTTGACTTTTCATTACCTTGATTTAAAGCCCTGTATTACTCTCACCATCTGGTTTTTAACTGAAGTTCCCCTATTCTGTTTTGCTGGATAGTATCAGGTTCGAAAGTTTAGGCATCAGCTGTGAAGATAATGAGATTCATTATGACGCCCATTCTTGTTGACTTTTATCTACTTTTGAAGACCTACAATGTCTCCAATGTTTTGGTTTTGTCTGTTTTATTCTTTACTGTTTTGTTCAATTGTATTATAACTAACGATATCGGCAATTCTATTAGAGATAGCGGGAGGCATTATGGTAACCATTGTTGATCACCTTGTATTATGTTTTTACATTATCTATTATGTCCACCCTTTTGACTTGACCGATTCTGTTCTGTTATGTCACATTTGGTTTTACTCTCTTTCAAAAAAGTAATAAGAACCGTGGGAGCAATGAAACCCAAAATGTGTAATAGTCATGGTACAAAAGAGAGGAAAAGAAAGTGCTCCAAACTATATAACTACATGTATATTTAAGTGTATAAGATAGAAAATGATATCACAGAGTTTTATTGGATCAATGAACAGAACTGTTGGCAGTATCACTGATGAAATGTCCACTTTACAAGCTTTAATTTTGTGACTTGAACAATTATTTCTAAGATGACAATATGTAATCCATTAACTAGTGATTTCCTACTGTTCATTTTTTTTCTGTAAATCTGTATAACTTGTACCCTTTCCCTGCTTTTTTTTCTTTTCTCCTTAAATAAAATTAAAATATATATATATATATATATATATATATATATAAAAAAAGAAGCTCAACATCAAAGCGAGAAACATACTGGCCCCAAATTATAGTAACATTTGCTAGATCATCGGTTAAAATCGAGTTCAAATTTTTATGGCATTGTTCTAATTGGTTTATGTATTGTCATTTCAATCAGGATGCTATGAAACACAATAGATGCTTCACATTGGTTTAAGAACTGTGGAATCTAGGGTACTTCTTCAACCTTCTAGCTAAGTGATTTTAGGAGAATATCTTTTTTTTTTTTTTTTTTTTTTTGTCTTTTTCATTTTTATCGGTACCGGGGATCGAACTCACGACCGCCTGCTTGCAAGGCAGGTGCTTATGCCGCTGAGCTAAACCTCCAGACCCTTTAGGAGAATATCTTAACCAGCCTAAGCCCGTATGTCCTCACCAAAATATAATAGTAGCCATGACAGCTGACTCTATTGAATCTTGGTGCTGAGAAATGAACTTAGAATTTTGTTCATACTACATAAGCACTGTACCACTGAACTGCACCTCTCATCCCCTTAAGCATTTTTCAAACATTTCAATTAATCATCAAAACAAAGTTATAAGGCTTTATAAACCTGAGATAATCCCATTCAGGTTATTGGAAGGATTAAAGAAACTGCTGGGTGTGGTGGTATACATCTGTAATCCCAGCATTCAGGATGCAGAGGCAGAAAGATCACCAAGAGTTCTAGGCCAGCATGGGCTACATAGGAAATTCAAGATCAGCCTGCGCTACCTAGTAAAGTCAAGGCAAGAATTTGTCTCAAAAAAAGAAAGAAAGATAAAAGAATTCATGTAAAATGCATAGTCCCATTCCCTGGCCCACAGCCAGCACTTAACTCATTATTATTTTTAATTGTATGTTGCCTAGAAAAGGAAACGTCCCTGAACTTCATGATTAGCAAGCTTTGGGAAAGCAACAGCAACAACAAATGAAAGAGAAAGACTGCCTGACTGCTTATCTCTGGCATCAAAAGAGACAGCAGGGATTAAAACAGGCCAATAAGAGAAATACTATAAATAATAAAAAGTAAGAAAATTGAGAAATGTGACAGTGGAATATCAAAGGAATGCAAGTTGGCCAGATTTCTTAATTTTTTCCATATAGGTTAGAATCCCCTCCATCTGCTCCACCCCAAGAATGCCTCTCTGTAAAACTGATCTCAAGGACCATTTGAAGTTTCTTTCTCTTTGACCTGAATACTATCAAACACCTTGAATTATTCAATCAAGAAAAGAAACTAACACAAAAACCGCTGTGTGTTGGGCTCCATGCTTAGCCATTTACATACAGTATATTAATATCTTTTGCTCCCTGAACTAACAATAAAGTGGATGTTTTTTCTGCACTATGTATATATAGGGAAAGAGGGTGAGAATTCAGGAATAACTTTGTGTGGGATTCAAACACAGATCTGTCTCACTTCAAAATCAAGAATACAAGGTCAGGCTTGGTAGCAGATTCCTATAATTCCAGTACTCAGGAGGCTGAGGCAGGAGGACCACAGCAAATTTGAGGTCAGCTTGGGAGAGATAGACAAGGCAAAAGCATTACCAAAATCTGATAAAACTAGTGAAATAATAGGCACTTGTCAACTTCTATTGCCTTTTACCTTCTTTACCTGAAACACCATCTTCTGGCTGCCCAGGGCTATAGGCCTTTTCTCAAGGACTGTCTTCTACCAGATATTGTGTGGCAATATCTACCACACAAACCTGAGGTCCTGAGTTCCATCTATCATACGCAGAAAAAGAAAAAAGAGTATATCTGCTCTGGCCTTCTCACCATCGTGATATTAGATTCTCCAGTATTCATATGCTTATCTCTTTATTTAGCACATTTTTGCAGGCTCCCGGGAAGCACTGAAATAGCTAGAAGTTAAAAAATTTCAGAACCTGCCAGAGAAGTGCAGTGGATTAACTAATGGTACACTTGTAACCCCCAGCTGAACTGAATCAGTGAGGTGCTGGGTGTGGAGGCCCACTTGAGGATCACTGCCAACAGCATAAAAAGAGAACTGGCAGGATGATGGTGCTGTTGATTCTCCTGGAGAAACTTGTCTTACTGGTTTTCCTGATATGAACTGGGCTACTCTCATGGTCAGAGGAGCTTGGGGCCTTGCTGCTGCTGAAGTGGCTGGGTTCTCTTTGGGGGAGCTCTGATCCTTACCTCAAGCATCAGTCCTGGCTCCAGTGCTGATCTCTCAGTCTACTGACACAGATCCTTCTTCCCACAGACTTTCTAGCTTCCACCACTGACCTTTGGGCCTTCCCAGCGCAGATCCTAGGTACAGACTTACATGGGACACTGCCATGGGCTCTAGAACCCCAGATGGACTCACAGAGGACATTGCCATGGGCTCTAGGTCTTTTTATTTCTTTATTTATTTTTGATACCATGGATCAAACTCTCAACCTTGCATTTGTCAGGCAGGCACTTACACCACTGAGCTAAATCCCTGGTCCCTGGCTCTAGGTCTTCAAATAGATTCATGCAGGACTTTACCAGGGGATCCAGCCCTCAACTGGATTCTTTGGGTCTCTAATGTGTGGACAGATTTCCCACATTCCATTGCATTTGACTTTTTGGGTGACCATTATCAAACAACCCTGTAAATTATGTGTCCTGTATTAAATCCATTCTCTTATAAATCTTGACCACAAGAAGAAGATGGGTCAAACTGAAGTGTTTGAGATGCATAGGCCTCTGAGAGTTATTAAGGTTGTATCATACACACACACACACACACACACACACACACACACACACAACACACACACACAAACACATTGGGGATCAGGACACACCGTCCCAAAATATAGCTATAAGACCAGATATGCCGCTTCCAGATATATTTCCCAGGCATATTTTGAGGTACTGCAGCAGACACAGGGGTGGTTCTGAGAAGCTGCCCTTTTGTAAAGTGTACAGCTACAAAGGAAATCCTTTATAAAAGTAATCAGAACAAGGAAAGGGCTGCCTCTAACAACTTTTACTATCTGCATAATAAGCCCACCTTCATTTACCAGGACTGCCTCCACTACCACCCTGGAACTCCCAAGGCCTTAGTACTTTCCGTAACTCAGGCTGCTATGTGCACTTTACTACCTGGCTCTGTTTTGCATCTTATCTTTGTGGGCCTCCAGGACATATGCATGTAAGTGAGGCTCAGAGCTGAAATTCTGTGATGGCCTGAAGGAGCCGCATGAGTAGTAAAGGCCCTGCAAGACCTCAGTTGAGTGGAACATTGTGATAGTGGAGAAAAGGAATGTAAAAAAGCCAAAATTATGGGGCTGGGGATTTAGCTCAGCGGCATAAGCGCCTGCCTTGCAAGCAGGCAGTCGTGAGTTCAATCCCTGGTACCGATAAAAAGGAAAAAGACAAAAAAAAAAAAAAAAAGCCAAAATTATGTTTCTCTAAGTCCCTTGGTTAGTCATTTACTTTCCCTGTGAGTATTCTGTAGGTACCACACTCCAGTGCTATCATCCCCAAGGCTAAGCTTGCTAATGGATTAGGTATGAAACCTGTAGAAAAGATTTCCCTGAAGGCTGACTGCTTAACATCCCACAAATGCATCTGATAAATGTATTGATTTACGACCTTTGACCTGTGGTTATAAAAGTTCACATTACCTCCTCCAGGGCAAAACATGCCATTCAGGATAACTCAAATCTGTGACCCTGGACCACGATCACTCATTTTTGGGCCAGAATAAACCATTTAAAAAAAAATCCTTAAAGCAGGGGGTTGTTATTTTTATACCCACAAAGGGTAAAGGGAAGCTATTTTTCCCACTTGTATACACACAGCCCCTGAGCTCCTGAGAGCTGAGATGAGCTGTCTTGTTCCATGTCCAAAATCAATAAGTACGGGATGAATGAATAAAGGATCTCGAAATACACAGTCACCCCTAACTTCCCCTGGGCCTCTGATGTGCTCAACCCAAAGAATGTGTCCCTGTTCCACATGACAAGATTTTTTATTTATCTTCAGCAAAACATTCTTTCCTGTCTCCTCACTCACTGTAGGAGGCTGATCCTCCAACAAGGTCAGAAAGGGCTAAGAGCCTCAATGAATAACAATGAACCCCACCAAGATGAACAGGTTTACCTGTATGTGGCAGCCACTGTGAATTACTGCCCGCAGGTGGTTCCTCGAGAAATATTCATCAGCCTTTTGCAGTCCTGCAGATTTATGGGTAGATGCTTTTTGTTTGCAAACCAAAACCATGAGATAAAAAGGGACACTGATGACTTATCTAGCTGAAAATTCCACGGATGTGTCAAGCTTCAGAAATGGCTGGATGTGGGTAATCAACATCATCATAATGCCACATACTAGTAATCCAGACACTTGGGAGGCAGCAGGTGGATTGCCACAAATGTGAGGCCCGCCTGAGCTACGTAGTGAAAACCTGTCTCAACAAACAAACAAACAAATTACTAATATAGTAATGCGTAAACGTGCTTCTCCGAATGGGGTTCAGTCCTTCCCATTCTGCAAAGTGATATATTCCTCGGTCTTTTTTCTTTCTCTTTTCTTTCTTTCTTCCTTCCATCGTTTCTTTCTTTCTTCCTTCCTTCCTTCCCTTGTTTCTTTCTTTCTTTTGTACTGGGGAATGAACTCACAACCTCATGCTTGCCAGGCATAAGTTTCTTTTTTCCCCCATTGATCCCTTTACCCATCCTGCTGAAGAATCCTTTGTAACTTGCACACATTTCTACAAACTAGATTTTGCTTGTTGTGTATGCCTAGTGCAGTTCAACATGTTTATCCTGTGTATTTCCTACAAATCTGTAGCTGTGTCCAGACTGGATTAGATTCAGGTTTGGTGTTTTAACAAGAGGAAGATGTTAGCAAAACTTTAGGACTGTGACAGTGAAACTCTTAGAGCTTTCAGTGATAACAAACAGCCCGTTGCACCACGCGTACTGTAGGTTCACCATCTCTGCCTAATTTACTCCCTTTTTACAAAGTCAGTAGCCACTGATACCTAACATCCATATCTGTTAGTTTATTGAGGACTGTCACATGGTGATATTCTCATTCAAGCACTGGCCTCATGGCCCAATCTACCAAACGTCCTCTATTTCCATAAATAACTTTTAAAAAAAAATAGACTGGTGACTGAGCCCAGGGGTGCTCTACCCTCAAGCTCTCTCCCCATCCCTTTGTTATTTTTTTGTTTTGACTGAGGCCTTACTAAATTGCTCCAATTGGCCTCAAGCTTGCCATCCTCCTGCCTCAGGCTCTCAATTAGCTGAGAGGCTTGCGCCATGTCACATGCAATTTTATTGTCCAGAAGTGACATGCACAGCATGATAAAATCCCTAAGAGTTAAGGTCTAGTATCTCTAGTAGATCCAGGATACCAGAGGGCTGCTGGTCCCCTGGGAGGTCCTTCTGTTCCCCTTGGAAATCAAGATTAGACTCAGATCCCCAAGAGTCACAAATTCTACAGCCATCTGTCCCCTTCGTTCAAAGGTCCAAAGACTCTCGCTTTACTCTCACTGTTTCTGCTCTCACTACCCTAGAACACTTAACTTCTCCTTCTTGTGGGGAGAAAGATCCCTGCAAGTAACTCAAACTTTTTGGAAACCACACCCAAGACAACAAATAGCTCCACTGTTAAACTTCCTACTGCACAATGCTGTCCACCTTCTCCGATAAGTGAGAGAAAAATCCTAATAATAAATAAATAAGTAGTGGTTGTTCATTTTTTATTATTTTTTAACAAGCAAAAGCAACCCAATACACATCTCAAATTTTCTGCTCCACCTTGTTGACTATCACATATAAAGCAGAGCAGACAAATCACATTAGCGGAAGGCAAATGGGGGAAATCTATGTTTTTAAAAAAAAACAGAACAATACAAAAAATAAAGACAGAAGTAGTGTGGCCTTCCTTCTGAGTGATTTAGGGGAATGAAACTCCCAACCTACTAGCTGTCTGATACAAGTTCATGATCTCTAAAATTGAAGAATGAGGGCTGCAGATTTAGTTCACTGGCAAGCAGAAAGTCATGAGTTAGATCCCCAGTACCAAAAAATAATTTAAAAAATAAATAAAATTGAAGAATGAATTTTAGGAACAACAGAAGTTAAGAGCAGAATATATTTACTGAGAGGAAAAAAAGCTTCTGGTTTCATTTGGAACAGGGAGTTAAAAAAAAAAAAAAAAGCTTCTGTCTAAGAGAAAGAGAGAAGGGGTCTCGAGTGGGTTGACCAAGATCCTATCTTTTCTAGGGATTTTTATAGAGCAAAACCACAAAGTGAGGTAGGTCTAAGGTGTGGAAAGCAGAGGAACTGAAAGGAGGGCATGGGGTGGGACAGGACTACAGCCAACCAATAAGATTAATTACTCAGGTAAAATTGATTAAGTCGGGGACAATTGGGAAGTGAGTCATGAAGCAAGTGGGCGTCCTTAAAGAGCAATGACTCTTCCCCTAGGGAGTTGGAATGGTGCCTGACTCCAGGCTTCCTCAGGGTGATAGAGACCTACTTAGAATATCAGTCCCTGATGTTTATCCTTAGAAAGTATGTAGGTGCATTTGATTTATCTTTTGTCTAGAGGTCTGGCCTATAGAGGGAAGTGTCTCTCTCCCCCACAGTTGCAAGGTATGTGCCCTTTTGCACTGGCTCCTTGGAGGGCCCTCCCCTGTCTGACTGCCTGTGTTTCTATCTAACTCGATTCCCTATAACAGGTTTGCCACAGCCAGGACTGTGACAGCTCTCTGAATACCCTGGAACCTCTTAGGGTCCCAAAAGTCCTGCCTCATCTTTTTTTTTTTTCTTCCTCCAGTATTGGAGGGCCTTGTGTGTGCTAGCTAGGCAAATGGTCTGCCATTAAGCTACATCCCCCAGCCTTTTTATGTTTTCTTTTCTTTTTAATTTTGAGACCCCATCTAAGTTGCCCAAATTGACCTTGTATTTGCAAATCCTCCTGGTCCTGCTTCTCTAGCAGCGGGATGACAGGTATATACCACCATGTCCAGGGGCCTTGTAAGCAGCTCTACAATACAGAATTTTAGAAGTTAAGATTTAAAAAATTTTTCTCTTTTCAAGATAAGCACCTTTGGGGCTGCGGATTTAGCTCAGCGGCATAAGCACCTGCCTTGCAAGCAGGCGGTCATGAGTTTGATCCCTGGTACTGATAAAAATGAAAAAGCCAAAAAAAAAAAGATAAGCACCTTCTTCAAACTTCCTCCAGCACAGCCCTTAATCACTCCCATCCCCCCATTCCCTTCCTTTCCTCAGGCCAGATAAAAGGAACAAAATATGCAGCTGCTGCCCCAGGAGATTAGGGCCCAGTTTCCTTTCCACAGGAAAGTGTAAGCACTGAAGATGGGCTGGCAAGATTGAACAGGCCTGGACAGGGCACAACTCTTTATATCTCCTCGCCTCTATCCCTGGCCCTGAAGACCCATGCATACTGTACACTGGAGTTGATGATGTGACGGGATGAGCCGCGTCTGAGTGTAAAGACCTGAGGGCACAGTAACAGCTTGCTTACCTGCTTTGTTTTGCATTTGCTACACTTTCCTTTCTGCAAACCCCATTCTCCTTGTTTCTCTGTTTCACGGCAGAAAGCAGCTGTCCTCCTGTGGGCAGCAAAGCAGGCCAATTTTGCTCACTGTTGGTCAAATCAAAGGAAGCCATTTATTTTGGTAAAGCCATTTATTTTGGTAAAAGGAAAAAAGGGATTTATTCAAAGCTAGCTCTGAGGAAGTGGAGGGGCCTTGTTACTCAAATCAAAATCACACCGGTGGTACAGAGGAGTGTTAGGATCCTTTATAACAAAAGAAGAGTGTGATGTGAATGAACAGAAGGTGACAGTACTCCCCAGGTCAACTTTCACCCTCCTGAGCCCTGACCTCCTGGGGGCAGCATCTGCATATTATTAAGACTGAGGGGAGAGGATGGTGATTATGCTCTAGACATCAAAGTTTAGAGAAGGCACTTAACACTAAAGAGGAAAAAACATTCTAACTTTTAAAGTTCCATTTTGTCCTGTAGGTTCCACTCTGAGCTCCTAGTTCTGTATCTTTCCAGATGGAGAGGCTAACAGATATTCACTGGTATCTCTCAGAGTTGAAATTTCTAGATTGACAAATCTCCATCCCTGGCAATTGCAGATATCCCTTCCACTCATATCCTATTGACCAGAAATTATTCACATCACCCTGCCTGGCTGGAAGGGAGGCCATGCGAGGTGTCTCTCTGGGGTCAATTACTAACGAAAGGTAAACTGGCTACTGGAGCCAGCTGCCTTTGCCACAGAACATATCGAAAGCTTAGTTAAGACAGAGATGAGTTTGATACCTCAAGAAGGCCAAGAACACACGATAGGCCTAACTCAAGCAGGCAGCTATAACCTGTAAAAAGCAACTGACACCAACAGGAAACAGCCCTGATATCTTCTGTCCATAGGATTGATTGGCAAAACTGGGATTCTCAGTTCTTCATTCTCTATATATTTACATTTTAATTCACATGACCAGCTTACATTCCCACCAGGTTGTAATGATTTGCATTGCTATTTACTGAAGGTAATGGTACCTCTGCCCCTCATCTTACAAATTTGACCGATCAGAAAGATCAGAAAGTTGATCTCACTTTTCTAACATGAATTTTCCTACCTGTAAGAGTTTGCTTTTGATCTCCATCTTCAGCAGGATAAGCACGTTTCCTGTTTGTTGTTTATCACAGCCTTGGGACAAGTGATTTGGGGTATCCTTTGAAGCTGCTTCAGTTTGGAAGGCCTGAGAACACAAATTCTCCCCTTCTACCACAGCAGCTGCACCACACCCTGTGCATCTAGAGCAAGGAAAACAATTTGCTAGGATGAATGACTGTTCTCCCTGGGGTTCTAACCTAGCAACCCTTCTTCTGGAAATCTATTTTATGAAGATAATCTAAACTATATGTGCTGTAGGAGAAAAGGGAAATTTCCTTTTTGCTCTCTGAAAGGTATGGTGTGAGTGGATAATATAGGAGAAAAGGCATATGGATATATTAAGGTGCAAAAAAATCATAGCAGGGGGAAAGTCAGTGAAATGATCAGAGACTGCCATGGGGGCAAAGGGCAAGTGCAATGCTGGCCCTTTTACCTATTATTCATTAAAGGCTTGATTTATATTTTCTTCTGAGGCAGCCAGGGATTTGAAAGCTCCTTTCCTAAAAAATATATAATAAAGACTTCACTTAGGCCTACAGATGTCCAATAGATAACTCAAAGCAGAGCAAAGTTTGTTCTTTATTTTGTTATCTGTCTCCTTTATTATCTTAAAACTTTGGGTCAGAGGGCCAGGGATGTAGCTCAGCAGCCAAGTGCATGCCTGGCAAGCACAAGGTCCTGAGTTCAATTCCCCATACTAAAAAGGAAAGAAAGAAAGAAAAAGAAAAACCACCTTGGGTCAGATCTTTGCTCAGCTGCACATAAGCATGCTGATCATTTAGAAAATACCTAGAAACCAGCAATGCATAATTAGCCCCAAATTTATACAACCTATTTCATCCCCCTTCAAGACAGAGATTAAGTGATTTACAGGGATATTTGACTACAAATGTATGCCCAGAAGTCTCCAGTCCCTGTCATACACACGTGGTCACCTTAGATTTCAGCAGTTTCCATAAACAAAGATGGCTCCAGACGAAAACAGTCATCTCACAGAGACCAGATTGTCTCTGCAGATGATCAGGACATCTACAGAGCCACACTGCAAAACCAGAACTGAGACAATGATCAGGCAGACCCTGGCCCATCCCAATAATTCCTTAAAAGTGGTTTCCTTTCTTTGATCAATGGGCCAGTATGGTCCTTTCCATCAGATCTGTGCCCCACTCAGCTGCTCCTCAAGCTGAGGTTTCTTCCTACTTCTTCAGACTCTCTAACTCTGCCTAGGAACTCTGCCTGTGCCTCTCCCTGGTGTGTCCTGAAATGCTCTTCTGCAGTGAGACATCAGGAACATCCTGGGGCCAAGCTGAGGTCTCATCTCTTCAAGGGAGGCCTGCTCTGCTCCTATCTATCGATGAGAGGGGACATGACTACCTGCCCCCAGACCAACATGACTCACCAGCTTACAAAGCCCCTTTTCTGTAGGATGCTGGGAATATGAGGAACATAGACAATTTTTTAAGGAAACAGTAATAGTTTTTAGAGGAACTCAATGTTCTTGGAGAACATAAAGTAATCTTGGAAAAAGTCCACTGTGACCCAGACCAGACAGGAGGTTAGAAACAGTATTTTGTAGGGTCAAAACAGAGGACAAGGGACAGAAGTCTGTTCACATGTGTTGACAGATCTCAGTATTTCTTCTTACAGTAAAGTTAGTCTTTTCTGGTTAATGAAATTTCAGTAAGAAGATGGAGGACAATATTGTGCCCATTGTGGTGAAGCTGGTTGGGTGGACGGGAACTTTGCAGAAAGCCTAGTTATGGGCAAGGAGAGAGAGGACAAAGGGAAGGGCAGTGGCACTGGATCCTGGCTTTCATCATGCTGAGCTCCAATCTACTGGGGTATCACTTTTCTCCATCCCAACACCACGAAGATATTCATTATACCATTATTTATCATAGAAGAACTTTAAAAACAATTGGAGTAGCCAACAATATTTAAAAGGTTTAATCAAGCTGAAGCATGATGCTATCCTTAATCCATTGAGATGGTATTTATAAAGACCATGGAGAGAAAGACAAATTATTTCCGATATAAAATGTGGGTAGGCCGGATGTAATGGCACACACCTGTGATCCCAGTACTTGGGAGTCTGAGTAGGAGGATTGCTGTCAGTTCCAGGCCAGCCTGGACTATACAGCAAGATCTTGTCTCAAAAAATAAATAGTTGGAGGGCCAGGGATTTAGCTCAGTGGCATAAGCACCTGCCTGGCAAGTGTGAGGTCGTGAGTTTGATCCCCAGTACTGCAAATAAATAAATAAATAGTTGGGCATGGTGGTGCATGCCTATAATCCCAGCACTTGGGAGGCTAAGACAGGAGGATTATGGTGACTTCAAGACCAGCCTGGCTTACAAAGTGAACTCATGGCCAGCCTAAATTGCATAGTAAGACCCTGTCTCAAAAAGACCAAATAGGGGCCAGGCATTTAGCTCAATGGCAAAGCACCTGGCTGGTAAGTACAAAGTCCTAAGTTCGATCTCCAGTATCAAAATAAAGTAAGATACGGGTAGATGTGTGAGGTAATGCATACATTAATTAGCATAATACAGCCATTCCACAATGTTTACATATCTCAAAAGACCATGTTATACATAATAAACATAATACAATATAATAAACAATACAATACATATACAATCTTTATAATAACTAAAGAATGATATTTTTCAAAATAAATAAATAAAATGTGGTTGGAACATAGCTCCTGTTCTGGCATGCCAAAACCCCCTTTGGCACTCCAGCCCGCCAGCCCGGCATGAGCCCTAGCGGGGGAGGGGCGCTCGTTGAGGATAAAGTGGTGGGAGAAGGTCTGAGGCGCGACCCCGGGGCCGCGGGGCAGACGCGGCGCACCGCGGGAGGGGCTGGTCCCTCGGCCCCACCCGGGGGTCGGCTCGCCACTGAGGCCTGGACGCAGGAGACCTCCCAGGGTTCCCCCATGCCCTAGCCGAGAGGGTTCCCTCAGGCTCCGCCCGCCGCCTACCCAGGACCCCGACAGCCCCGCTCCGAGGCGGCCCCGGAACGGCCGGGGCGGCCTCTCCCAGTCAGCCGAGCACCTTCACAAGCAGCTGGAAGGCAAACAAGGAGGCGTTACCGTGGGCGGCAGTGGAGTGGCGGAGGTGGGGCGCGGCTCCAGCGACCCGACCCTGCTCGGCAGAGGCTGTGGTGGCGGCCGAGTCCTTTATTTCTGCTGCAGCGGCTACGACTTGTCGCAAAGGGAAAGACGTAAGAGGCGGCAGCCGCGGCAGCAGGCGAATCTCGCGGGATTTGGGTGGAACTCTCGCGCGGTCCGGAGGCTACGCCCCGCCCCCAGTCTGTGCTCTGGAGGGAAAAGGGGGAGAGAGTGTGGAGGGAGCGTGAGGGAGGTTACGCGCGCCGAGGGGACGGGAGACAGGGAATGGGACAGGAAGGGAAGGGACAAGAGGGGCTCGGGAGCGGGGAAAGCTAGCCCGGCTGACGGGGCCCGGGGACCGCTGCTCGGCCCTCACGGAGCCTGAGCAGCCCGTCAGCGCGCGCGACGCAGACTCTGCCGAGGATGCACAATTGGGGGGCGCTTCATATAGGGCCGGAGCGGTGGGGACCGGCGGGCACGCCCCGGTTTCCTCGCTGTCTGCGGAAAAAGCCCGGCGTCTGGGTGCTGCGGGAGGAAGGGACACTGGGGAAGCCGGGTGGCCGGACCCCCTTTATCTCGGCGGCGTGCCGGGCCCGGGCTCTTTATCGCGCCTTACGCTCGGCGTCGCTCGAGCGCTGCGGGAACCCGGAGCTGGGCGCGCGGAACTCAAACTCTGGCAGGTGATTTGTATCCTGGGTTGTGACCCGGATCTGCACTGGGAAGCCCCTTGAGGGCAAGGGCACTGTAGCGTGGGCATTGTATTCACAGCGCCTAACACGGGTCCACGGGGTGCTTGAATTGTTGAATGTCTATCCTTACACCTGTTGGCACTTCTAGGCGTCCACCTTTGTGGGAACCTTTGACAAAACATTCTGACCCTCAGTTAGTGTGTAACAGATGCGAGGGTACAGGGACAAAATGCCCTAATGAAATCATTGGAGCACACTGTTTGAATCACTATGGCTGGACTTGAACTCACACTAATCTTCCTGAGTGCTGGGATTACAGGTGTGCAGCACCATGTTCAGCTCAGGAGATACTATATTTTAAATATTCAAATTGTCCACAATGAGAAGGTTTTAAAATGGCCAGAGTAGACAGGCATATGTGGAAAGGACACCTGAACTCTCCAAGATGGTATATAAATTGAAACAAATTTTATGAAAGCTATTGATCAAACTACTAGAAAATCCATATTTTCTTTTGACGCACAAATTCTCCTGAAGAATTTATTTGAGGAAGCAATTAAAAATCCAAGATATATAAGGAAATTCAATGTTGCCACTTAGAAAGGTTAGAAGCACACTAAACACTGACTAAAATGCAGTAAGTAACATTATGACTCTTCCAAGCAATGAAATGTTTTGCGTTAAAATTATGCATTAATTTTGCATTAAAATTATGCCAGGTCTAAACACAAATGCCAAGTCTGGCATTTGCAGCTCTGGTACAGCAATTCCCTAGCATGCTTGAGGCCTGGGTTTGATTTCCAGCATGGAAGAAAAAGAAAAAAGAAAAGTTAGGGAAGGGTATTGTTGACAGGGAAAAAAAAAATTATTGAATGAAGAAAGACAAAATATAACACAAAGTAATTTTTGTAAAAATCATGCATGTGTAGTTAAAAAAAAAACCAAGAACATTTTAAAATATTACTGTTTAGATCTCAGTACTGTTATTATGGGGACTTGGAGGATTCTGCACATTTGTTCTTGTTTAACAAATCTTCTTGATTAGAGTTAGGTTTCCATATTCATGGGTCCAAGCAACTTGTCAATTACTGAGGAATATGAGACCAGTGTCTAGGCATGGGCGCATGCCTGGATTCCCAGAACTCTGGGAGGCTGAAGCAGGAGGATCACAAGTTTGAGCCCAGCCTACGCAACTTAGCAATAAGTACCATGCCTCAAACTAAAAATTTAAAAAGGGCTTGTAGTTCAGTTCTAAGGCCCTGGGCTCAATCTCCCATACAAAAAGAAATAAACTAGAAAGAATGAATAAATTAGTAAATTAATTAGGCTTTGAATAAACAACTCTAATATGCCAGTTATAAGCCACACTGCTGGAGTTTGAAACCAGGGAGAGAGGAATGAATATTCTAGATTTGCAACCTGGAGGCCATCATTGCAGAGACAACCTGACTGAGCCCATGGGTGACAGTACAGGGATGCTGACCCACGCTTACAGAGCTGGCCCCACCGGTAACACAGCCTCCCCTCTGGGGTCCACAGTGGCCAAGAAGGCTGCCTGGCTTCTGTGATCCCCTCTCAGCCACCCTCCCAACTACAATAAATCACCCAGGCAATGGCAATACACCAATCTATTGTCTCTGGACTTTCAAGTTTCTCTCTTTTCAAAAAGACCTTTTATCTTTAGAAATTTAAGACATTAAAAGAAAACACAGTCCCTTTTTCCGGGACTCACCCACCAAAGCCTGATTGTGAGTCACAGTTTCCTGTGGTCTGAGTCACCATTTCCATCCTGCTGTACCCACTAGACTAGAACCCCCTCGAGGGCCAGGAGGGGATCTCACTTGGCACTGAGTCTTCCTAGCGCTTGCTCACAGAAGGTGCTGGACACATGGTTGGTTGAGATGGGAAGGAAATGAAAATGAAGTTCTAGGCTGCTATCCTGTCTCATGGAATCCTAGAAAAGAAAGTACTTTCACGGTCCAATAAAACTGTAGAGCACTGATTCACACTAGGGTGTTAATGGCATGTTCAGTACTGTTTGGTGAGGGTTTAAACTGATGTAACTGGTTGGGAGAACAATTTATCAAAATCTAAAAAGTTGATATTCACCCCTGGAGGCCTACAAATTCTACTTCTGAATGTACAGTACATTCTAGAGAAACTTTCACACATGGACCCAGAGAGCGAGAGGGATTAAAATCTACATTGAGATGATGTTATAATAATGTCTGGACAGAAGAAAGGTGGAACTGTGATTCGAAAATAAAATACTATATAGCCACAAAAATCAATGAATTAGAGCCATCTGAATCAATTAGCTCAAAACTATAATGTTAGCCAGGTGTGGTAGCCCACTCCTGTAACCCCAGCACTGGGAAGGTTGAGGCAGAGGGATTGTTGCAATTTCGAGAACAGCCTGAATTACAAAATGAGCCCAAGGCCAGCCTGAACTGCACAGTGAGACCTTGTCTCAAAGACACACACACACACACACACACACACACACACACACACACACACACACAAAATGAATAAGAAACTGCAAAAAGAAATATATGACATCAAAATGCACTAAAACAGTTTAGAAACCTGCAAAATAATACTGTATCATCTTTATAAACACACACACTCATTAGCAAAAGTGTAAAACTATGTACGGGGATGGTATACACTAAATTCACAAGGGACGCAGGGAGAAGAATGGGCTGCAGGTTCCTCATCAGGGCTTCACAACTTCTGTGTTTTTACTCTGTACACTTTTAGCAGATGGGAAAAAGCTGAAGGAAAAGGACATTAAGATATCCTTACACTGTGTGATAGCTGTACACAAAATCATTTTATTCCCCACTTTTTTTGGTGAATGCTCTGAATATGTCATACTGAAAATACATTGAATTTATAAAAAGAAAGAATCTAGATAGAGCCTTACCGAGAAATAAGGGATGGATCCACCTTGAACGTCTTCCTTTGAATTTAAGACCTTTTTTTTTGTTTTGTTTTTTTTGGTGTCGGGAATTGAACTCACGATTTTGAGTTTGCCAAGCAGGCACTTATGCCACTGAACTAAACCCCCAGCCCCAAGACCATTCATTTTTTTTTTTTTTTGTCTTTTTCATTTTTATCGGTACCAGGGATTGAACTCATGACCGCCTGCTTGCAAGGCAGGTGCTTATGCCGCTAAGCTAAATCCCCAGCCCCTCATTTTACTCTTTCTGAGACAGGCTCTCGTTCTGCAAATCAGGCTGGCCTTGAATTCACTATGTAGCCCAGTCTGGCCTGAACTGGCGGCAATCCTGCCTCAGCCTCCAAGTAGATGGCGTGACAGGTGTGTATCACTGCTCTTGGCAGCCATTCCAAATTAAAAAACATATTTATGATTTTACATTAGATGACCTGATGAAGCCAGAGATTTCCTTGTTTTATTGAGGTTTGGAACTTAATTCTCACATGAAATAGAGGACGTGCTCCAGACTAAAAATCCTGGATTTCAGTCAGTAAGCAGTGGTCTTCACTGCCTGCCTCCCAAAGGGATATTTTATAATCCTTTGATTATAAAATTTGCTTGTGGCAGACCAGACTTGAGGGTTCCTTGCAGCCTTGTCTGCATCTTCCCGTGTCTTGCATCTGAAGGTAGCAGATGATGGATATTTGGAGAACATTTGACGAGAATCTGCTGCCAATTGCTAGGTCCCTCAAGGATCTGGCAATGAGGCTACCAGCTCGAGACCTGCCAGCCACACTCAGCCCCTCACGAGACTGCATGAAGTTCTGCATCTCCACTCTGAGATGGGCTCTGGGTTTTTCTCCAAGATCTAGATGCACAGTTTTTCTAGCATGATACCTGTGGGTGGAGAAGGAGGCAGAGTCAGAGGAGGAGACCTCTATTTCTTGCAGGAAAGCCTTGGAAATTCTGCCCATCTTCCAGGCCTAATTCAAGTTCTCTGTCTTTTCTTCTGCTTCTCATTCCCACTAGATGGTACCGCTGGACCCACTTCCCAGGAAATACTGTTCCAGTTGCTCCCAAGGACCCTCGTTTTACATGGAACTCTCCCTTTTAAAACAGCTTTATTAAAATATTATTCACAGTGCTGGGGATTTAGTTTAGTGGCATAAGCGCCTGCATAGCAAGTGCAACATTGTGAGTTCGATCTCTGGTACCAAAATTAAGTTTAAAATAAAATTAAGTAAAATTCACACACCAGACAGCTTGCCCATGAGAGTGCACAGCTCAGCAGACTGCAGTATAGAGAAACACAAAACTGTTATCACAGCCAATTTTACATTTTCGTAGCCTTCATGAGAAACCCTTTATAGCTGTCTATCGCTCCCCACCCTATCCCCAATCTCTAAACCACGACCCAACTACTTTTGCTGGATTTGTCTCTTCTGGAAATTCCACATAGAATCATGGAAATATAGTCCTGAGCCTTACTTAGCTTCACGTAATCACA